TATTATATAATTTAATGGACATAATAAAAGGGCCATTAGCCGTTAACGTTAGGCGATGCTGGGGTATTTTTAAATTAAGAGATTCTCTCAGATTATAGCCAGAAGACTGAGTTGTATTGGCGCGTGTAATGAAATTTGTTAAATGGTTTTTCACATATGTAACACAGCTTAAAATATATAGTGAATAAACTGTAAGAATACCTAATCTTTTAAATAATTGTCTGCAAGAATCTCGTGCCTTTGAATTAGTCATTGTACGTATAATCTTTTTTTGGAGAATAAATAAATCTTTAATATGTGACGAGTTACCCCAACAAATAATGCAGTAGCTTAAATTAGACTGAACATAACCAAAGTAATACATTTTTAAAATTTCCAAATCTACAAATTTGCCTAAACGCCAAAGAACAAAACAATGTTTTGCCAATTTATTCAATAATTCGTTAATATGATTTAACCAAGATAACTTTGAATCCAAGAGGACTCCCAAAAATTTTACTGAAGTATTTTGTTGAATAGTTTTGTTGTTAAATTTGACTAATATACTGCAATTTATTTCTTTAGTATTGAACACGATCAGATCAGTTTTTGTGCCATTTAAAGCTAAATTATTATTTTTGCAATAATTTTGCATGCTAATCACAACACTTGATGCAAGGCCACTAAGTGCCGCAATAGATTCCGATTTAACCGCCACAGAAGTGTCATCTGCGAACATTGTTACAAATCTTTTTGAATTAGCAATCATTTCAATGTTATTAATAAATAGTAAGAACAAAAATGGGCCTAAATTGCTCCCTTGAGGGACACCTAATCGGATATGCCTCGGTTGTGAAAAATATTGAATACCATTGACATTTAAAAGAACTTCTTGAGTTCTTCCTTGTAAATAGATATTAAGCCAGTTATACATGCACATTTGTCTTTATTTTCTAATGCATTTAATATAAAGCTATATAAAGATAAAATTGCATCTTGTGTCGCCAAACTTTTTCTAAATCCGAACTGATTTTTATTAATTGTGTTATTATTTTCTGCGAAACTTAATATTCTTAAATAAAATGCCCTTTCAAATATTTTCGAAAATACAGAAAGGAGTGCTATTCCTCGGTAATTAGATATTAAATACTTATCATTCTTTTTATGGATAGGAATAATTACAGCTTTTTTTAATAAAGAAGGGAAATATCCTTGTGTAAAAGATAGATTGATCAAACTAGTCAAAGGAACGGATATAAAAGAGATTATTTTATTAAGAATTGTGCATGGAATGCTATCAAAACCCGCCGAATTTTTCGTGCAAACTTTCCTAATTATATCCATTACTTCTATTTCTGTAAAAGGGAACAAAAATATGGAATTAGACACAAAAGGGATGCCTAAAGACACATCCCTTTGAAACTTTTTATCATTTAAGCACATGGCCGAATCGACAAAGAAATTATTAAATGCATCTGCGGCCTTATGTAAGTTTGAAATATTGTTCCCATCATCATCGTGATAGCTTTGACAAATGTTACTATTTAAAGTATTACAATTTTTTTTAATAATGTTCCAAGCTGCTTGAGATTTGTTAGAAGAATTCAATATCTTATTACCAAAATATGTTGATTTTGCTACAATAATTTTTTGTTTATGAATTTTCTTTAAAGCCTTATAGCGCAATTTTAATTCGTTATCATTAGTACATCTGTATATATCATATAATTCTCTTAACATAATCCCCTCATTAATGATTTCCAGTGTCACCCATGGGTTTGTCTTCATATGAGATTTATTCTTATTTTTACACAGTTCCACAGGAAAAGCTTTATCAAATGCATTCAAGATAACCTCATGAAAGAATGAAAATTTTTCATCAAGCGACAAATTTAAATCTAAAAAATCCCATCTGACTTTTGCTATCAAATGCTGGAAGAATGCTATATTTATTGGATTGTTACTAACTCGCTTAAAATAATAAGAGCTTTTGAACAACATTAGATTCAGAAATGGAAAAAGAAACCTGTTGTAAATGATGGTCTGAAATATCACATTTTATATTTTGCGGGTTCAATATATTAATATCCATACTCGAAAAGATATTGTCAATTATTGTCTTCGCCTCACCTACTTCCCTGGTATAGGACCATATTGTTTGTTTCAAATTAAAGGTGGCAAAGATATTGCATAACTTTTTGGCAAAAGGATTTAAATTACAAGGATCAAAATTAAAATTAAAATCTCCACATAAGAAGACCAAGTCAGTTTTTATAGTTTGGTTTAGTAAATCTTCAATATGTAATAGAAATTCACTTGAATTATCTGGAGCAGGGGAGGCAAGTGGAGTTCTGTAGAAACATCCTACCAAAATTGTTTGCTTGTTTTTTAACACAACTTCAGTCAAAGCATACTCAAATGTGAATTCTAACCTTGGTACTTTACAAGAAACTTTCCTAAAATCTAAAGTGGATAATATAAATATCGCTACTCCCCCTTGCTCATGATCAGATCTACAAAAAAAGTCACAAAGAACATAGTTGTCAATTTTAACATGCACAATTTCAAAATCACGAAAACCAGTTTCAGAGACACATATTACCTCCGGATAGTCAATATGTTGAAGTAGGAGTTCCAAGTCTTCAATCTTGTTACGTAAACTGCGGCAATTTAAGTGACAAATACGTATGATGCCGGGAACACTACCATCGTTTGAACTTGTCCTAATTGCGTCTGACACTGGGGAAACTTTTTCCTGTTGTTTTAGAATGGTTTGTTGATATTTTCTTGAAGAAACGAAATAACTGCACCTTTATGTTCTCACTCCAAAAGTTTTCGTCTAGTATTTTCTCTTGTAAATTACGAGGAATAACTACTTTGAATGATGCATAAGAACCCTTTGTGGTAAGCTTTTTAACGTGAAATACTGTTCCTTGCACTCTCTGGGTGATATATGCTGCCAGTTGATCCTCTGTAGTATTTAGATTCACATTCGAGACGTGAAGAGTGACTGATGGTTCAGCCGCTAATATTTCTTGTACACAGCCGTCGCCGGTGCTGCCATTGTTTTCCTTGCGTCTCTTGCCAATTATAATCTTAGTAGTTGTTTTATCTGACACTATCATAGTCACTAAATACTTTACTGCGACAACCTCTACGAGCTATAAATCGTCGTAATGCAGCTAAGAAAGCCTCAATAGATAAATCCGATGCCACCTATGTTTTGAGACTTTGCTTTTCGAATTCGAGACATCGTTATACGATATGGGTCAGCAAAATCAACACCTATGCAAGAAAATGTTTAACCTGATTGCTAACTTGGAGGATTATCCATAGGGTGAAATCGATTCACGCGAAAACAAGTGTGACAACGAGATAAATAATATTTTATTGCTCGTCTCGATGATAAAATCCAAAATTGTTGAGATGATAGAAAATGTATGGTTTTTAAACCTGGACGCAAATAAGTAATATAAATATTCAATAATCAATGTAGTAAACCTAATTAACAATATTGGATATTTATCAACATATGAGAATACCTCGTTCATCGATAAATGGCGCTAATTTTCGAATTACTTTTGAGCAAGGTCGATTACTTTTAAGATTAAAAATCTCATCAGTAAAAACTGACAATTGTACATGTTTAATTAACAACAACAAGACCTCATTCAATTCAGAAAATGTAAGAGTTCCCTTTTGCAAATTCTATTTATTTCGAAGATTACGTAAAAATCGATTACAATAAGCAACCTTAATTTAGTTCAAAGACGAAAAACTAATCAATTGATTGCCAAAAAAACTGTTTTGAGGCAAACATGACAGTAAAGAAATTTGTCTTCCCTCAGCTACCGCGTCTGAGGAAAATTGGTTTTCTTCGTATGCTGCAATGGACCACAAATTTTCAGCAAGATATCCAGGGAGGTCCTTCGCACCAATGCTTAGAGTTTAGAAGTTCTAAAGGATATATACCGAGAGGAGCGCAATCAGCTGGGTTGCAGTTAGCTCGAATATGATACCAACAATCTGGAGGGATGACTTCCTGAATTCGACTCACACGATTGCTCACAAAATATTTTCTATTTGTGAAGCGACGATTTAATCCAGAACGCGATGCGAGCCAGCATAGCCCGGCCGAAAATACCAAGTGCAAATGTATACATTATAAAACAGGGGAAGGAACTTCACCGAGCGCGGTTGAGACTAGCATGGTCCGCGATGCGACGGAACCGCGACCGCCTAATGCGTTCTCTCCTTAAAGTAATAATTTAATTAGATGATATAGTTTGGATTTTCTTATTAACGGTAAACAAATGCGAAATGAGGTTTAAATATTGGATGTTGATAGTTTAAAAATATAAAAGAAAAATTATTTTCTCGGCGAAAACAAGGGTCAAATCGAAAAAAACAAATATACACACACTGTGTTAGGCGCACTGACTGACTGGCACCGACAAACACAACAATGCGCGCGAGAATGATAACTCATCTTCTGCGTATGTGTATTTCTTATTTTAGAAGAGTCTGTGTCTAAGTGTGTTTTTCGAAAGTCAGATGCGATCCGGATAATTGGCGATCCGGGTAGTTGGAGTTCGGATAATTGGAATTATATTGTATTTGAATTTTCATCAACCTCTGCTGTTAATGTGGCTCTTAAAGAACAAGAATAATTTTCCATATTTTCTTTTATGCTAATTTAAGAATAAAGCGATGCGATTTTAGAATTAGAATTGATCTAACAATAAGCCCATATCAAATTTTATTTAATCCGGATTAAACATTAATCGTAACCAAACTACTACGGTACAGATCCTCATTATAGCCGATTGTTTTTATTAAATGCTAGGTCATTATATTCCATTTGTCTATTTGTATTTGAGCATCATAAAAGATATTTGATTAAATGGAGCAAAATTAAAAAACTGGCAAATAACCAAAAATAGAAATTGTAATATTGTAATTGAAATAATAATCTATTACATGTATACTCATCACTAATATATATATTTTGCGTAACTTACCTGAAACAACGCTTGTCCTTTTCCTGGGTAGGCATCAGTGACATCCTCCTTCCAATTGAGGAAAGCTTCTTCGTCAACTATTTCCATTTCATAAAGAGCAACAAACCATCTTAAGAGTTGACCCCTCGGAAAACCTAATGAGTAAAAGTGCATTTGTAACGAATAGACCGCCACCAACTGTAAAGAAGATTTTTCCCTTAAAAACGCATGAAGTACAGGTTGATATCTCTTAAGTAAACTTGTTTCTTTCTCTATGATGGCCTTTTCATCATTACCAATAATGGAGGATTCGTGAGTTATATATTTCAAGAGTACGGTCATAAGTGCATTAATAAATCCAGGATCATTGAAATTCGATTGTTCTAAATTTTCTTTTATCCATTTGTAAAATGACTGTGGGTTTGGATCAGCTTGAAGTTGACGGGAAAGATCTGCTTGGATGCGAAGCAATGGATATAGGAAAGCAAGATCTCTCTCTTCTAGAATTTCTGAAAGACGTTCTTTTGTTTTGTCATTCTCAGGTAGTTGAGTCATAAGATTGACCTGAAGATTTAAAATATGGCATTATATTCGTTGAATGCAAACTTACATTAATATTATACAGGGTGCCTGCAAATTTCACCGACAACGTTTGACTGTCTGTATATTCACGACGATAAATAAATACGATCCATCAAAAAAAAATTAAATAAAAACTTTTTGGTTTTTGAGTTACAGGACTTCATAGTTGTCAAATATAAAACTAATTTAATTAATAACTTCATAACCCTTTTACCGATCGCGTTAAAATTTGGGAGATTTATTTGGACCATTATGGCATATTATTTCTTAAAGTTTTAGTCAAATCGATATACGAGTACTGGATATTAGATTTCTCCGGTTACCTCTCCCTTTTAGCGGACAAAACTTTTACAGTGGTCGTAATTTTATAAACGGGCAGCAACATTGAAAAGGTCGTTTTATTTAAAAAAAATATTGTCTCTAGAGAAAATCACCTACAGAAAGCCATTCTTGAGAAAAATTGCATTATTTGCAGATCTGTACGTTTCGATTTGCGTAGCAGTATCACGGATTTAAAATTTTGAGTTCAGTAGGCGATGAAAACAAGATGTTTATTGCTGTGGCTATCAGGTAACGTCATTATTGTCGTGTTTCTTTAGGATTCTCATCACTCCACACATGCAAATTATGAAGTGTCCGCAGTGTATCAAAACAATTAAACATTTTCATAATTTGTATGTATGGAGTGATGAGAAAGAAACATGACAATAATGACATTACCTGATAGCCACAGTAATCAACATCTTATTTTCATCGCCTACTTAACTCAAAGTTTTAAATCAGTGACACTGCTACGCAAACCGAAACATGCAGACCTGCAAATAATGCAATTTTTCTCAAGCATGGCTTTCTCTAGGAGATTTTTTCAAGTGACAACCTTTTCAATATTGCTGCCCGTTTTAAAAAAATACGACCACTGTAAAAGTTTTGACTTCTAAAAGGGAGAGGTAACCGGAGAAAATTATCACCCAGTATATCGATTTGACCAAAGTTTTAAGAAACAATACGCCATAATAGTCCAAATAAATGTCCCAAATTTTAACGCGATCGGTAAAAGGGTTATGAAGTTTAATAACTTCATAACCCTTTTACCGATTTAATTAATATTAAATTAGTTTTATTTTTGACAACTTTGAACTCAAAAACTAAAAATTTTTTTTTCGTAGATCCTATTTATTTATCGTCCTGAATATGCAGTCAAACGTTGTCGGTGAAATTTGCGGACTCCCTGTATATTATAGTAAAATTTTAATGACAAACCGCGTATAATGACGAATTTTCACTCAAGTTTGGTTTGATATAAATATATCTTCCATTTGGTACAACATGATTTCACTGTTCTTGGCATGATGCTATAACCAAACTTCACTGTAAAATACAGTGTGTTCTACAATTATGTCCCGCAGAAAAAAAAATTGAAATTTGAGAAAATATTCACAGCTCCACAAAAAAAAAACATCGAAAAATTACTTCTGGGATCTGACTGTATCTACCATGTTTTCGGGGTAGCTGAATCCGATTCCGGTGTCCATTTAACTCCATCACGTCAGGATTTTTCATAACCTCAAAAAAATAGGCTCAAAAACCCAAATCCACTGACCACTCAACTCCTATAAACCTTTAACCCCATAACCCTGACACTCGGTAAGCCATAAACTCATATGCCCCAATAATACCATAACCTCATAGCCTCAACTTCAAAACCCAGTCAAGAATAGATTTATGCACGAACACTCAAACTTCGCTTTACCTTTTCGCGCTAATGGGGATCCGACCTCATTCATCGAAATTGTTTGCCGTTTCCAGGGTGTCTGCCGGATGACGGAATAATTCCGTTACCCTCCGTCAACCACGTGAAGGTGCCCTGAATTGCAAACATGAATAAGTAGTACAACAATGATGTACGAAGTTTCGATTCATGAGAGTGCGTGCATAAGTCTATTCTTGACTGGGTTTTGAGGTTGAGGCTATGGGGTTATGGGATTATTGGGGAATATGGCTTTAAGGCTCAAGAAGCACGTATGGCTCGAACATACTGTTTCAGAGCTTAAACGCGCATAAGTCCCTTTCTTACTGGGTTATGGGGTTTCGAGGTTACGAAGTTATGGGATTATAGGATTAAGAGGTTATGAGTGGTCAATGGATAGAGGATTTATTGGACTTTTCTGGGCCTATTTTTTAAGTTTATGAAAAATCCTGACGTGATGGGGTTAAATGCATTCGGATTTAACGACCCCAAAAATATATGGTAGACATAGTCAGACTCCACAAGTCATTTTTTCGATTTTTTTTTTGTTTATAAAATTTTCTGTCGGCAGTTATTATTTTCATTTCATGTCAAATATAAAACAAATGAAATTAAAACTTGATTAACATTTTTAATCTAAGGATTAAAAGTGCAAACTTTAGCTCCTAGGATTAAAAGTGAATACTTTTGTTGCTAAGATTCCATTTTATTTTCTCGGTAAGGAAAATGTCAACCTTAGAGATTTCTAACAGTAAAAAAATGTCATAGTTTTGTGACGGTTGGAGAAAAACTACATTTTTGTACAATGTATCTCATTTTTTATGTCATACTAGGACAACTATTATTAAGATATTACCTAAAATATAAACAGTTTATTCCTGGTGTAGATGTACTGTTCAGCTCTGATTTTAATGAGTAAAGTGTCCCTCAGGGATTGAATTTACCTCACTATCCCTCTATCAAAAATAAATGAGCATTTACGAATGCAGTGCAAATGGTTACCAAAGTAATTTAAACTATTAAGGAGGTAACCCATTAGGCGGTCGCGGGCTCGTCGCATCGCGGACCGTTCTGGCCTGAGCTGATCGCAGTTTTTCACTATATCAGTCGCATTTGACAATCGCGCACAATCCTGCTCGCGCTCTTCTTTTGTTTTGCTTTATTGTTTTAATAGTTAAGAAAATGAGTTCTATGGAAGAGGTATTTTTATTGGCTCTTCTATGGTCTCCCGAGCTTCATTGGAAAAGATCGGTGGAAAACGCGATGCAAACGAGACGAACTCGGGAATGTCCAGTGCGAATGCATACATTATAAAACATGGGAAGGAACTACACCGCGCGCGATCGAGACTAGCATGATCCGCGATCCGACGGGACCGCGACCGCTTAATGCGTTCCCTCTAGCACTTATAACATGGTATCTAGATTTGATGTTTGATTTGATGAAGTCAGTGTTAATAAATCATGATGGTTTGTATAATAAAATTAAATTAAGCATTGATATATTTTTACCTTACTCTTGTTGAATATTTCTGATAACTCCAATTTTCCTCTCTTCTTATGAATGTGCTGCAGAACTAACAAAAATAAAGGATAATGTGCACCATTTTCTGTTATTGAGGCAACATCAGAAAGTGGTATAAGGTGTTCACATATGGCTGTAGCAAAAAGGATAGAAGCTGAATTAATCACTTTGGTGATTTCATTCTCTCCTTCACTGAAGACGTTACAAAGAGATTTGAAAGCTTCCTGTACAATGTGACCATTTACCAAGTTATCTTCTTTCAAATTGCTCAATAACTTAATTAGTTTTTCTTGTTCCACATCTAAAATTAATATTAATGTGGGTATTACTAAATGGCACTACAATTTATTTAAAAAGTTATATTCATCCACGCAAATGTGATTTTGAAATAATTTCTTAAATTATGGTAATTATATTTATTGATAATTAGTATGTATCACTAACACTAACAAATAACTGACTGATGATAAAGATGATGACTACCTTAATGACTATGATGAATGATGACATAATGGTAATTATAACTATAATAATCACAAAGATAATAATTAACGGGTTTTCAATTTTATACTACAAATATACATGTATTGAAATTATTATTTTATTCATAAAATTAAAAAAACCCGAAATAAGACTTTTCCATTATGGCTAAACAATATAACTTATTAGATTTTAGTTTGCTTTAAAATTTTGACTTTGGGACTAGAATTTAAAAAGTGAAAACTATTATTTGTTCGACAAATGGGCACATTTACTGCTACAAGAGGACATAATACGTTGTAACAAAGTGATTTTTCGACACCCCGCATTTGTGTTCCTTTTGATTCATTTTTAATAAATGTAAATTATCGCACCGACATTTACATTTTTCACGACGCCTGAGACAACCAGACACAGCGTTAGCGCGGTGTCAATGGCCTGGTAGCCGGCTTCAGGAGTAGTGATGTCAAATACAGTTACTTTTTAGTACTCAGAGTATTCGTTACTTTTATCTTGAGTACTCGTTACTTTGTATTCGTTACTGTGTACAGTTACTTGTATAGTCCGGCCGGCACGATATGCGGCTTTGTTTCTACGCTGACTTCCCGCAAAAGTCAACCACACGCTCGAAATACCCTAAATTGTTAATATTAGCAAAAATCATGTATCCATCGTGGCTACATCTATTCCAAGTGAACGTATATTCTCTAAGACAGGTCAAATAATAACAGAACAGCGCAACAGATTAAAATCCAAGTATGTAAACAAAATCATTTTTCTAAACTGCAACGATTTTTTGTTTATTCATAAAACTTAGTAGTAGTATCACAATGGTAATAGTAGGCATTCGCACAAAACAGTAAATAGTTTTGAATTAATAAGTTACGTTGTTTTTTTCTTATTTTGGATATTTTTATTTTTTCGTTAAGTATTTGGTATTTTTATAAGACTAATTTCTATAAGACAAGAGCAAAATTTATATATTTTTTTGTTTAAAAAAAAAATAGAAAATAATTATTTATTTAAATGTTATTAATATACAGGGATGGCCAGAAGTACGGAATAAAATTCATATCTTTTGAATGAGTTAATTTTTTTTAAAACGCCGAAACACGTTAACTGATTTTGATTTTTTCCCATCTTTCGGTTATATAATAATTAATTTTTCTTCAACCCCCTAACCCCCAGCTACCCCTATTTTTTTTTCAAATGGAAACATAAGGCATGAGGGGGCTCGTTGAAAAGCTTATAGAAAACCGAATCCAGCCATACCAAATAAACAAGTTTTATTTTTTCAATAACAAGTTTTTTTTCATTTAGAAATTGAAACAACTAGATAATTTACAAAAATAAACTCAATGTCGCAAATGCTGAAAATGTCCTCCATTCACTATTTGGCATTCTCCAAGACGATAGTAAAAGCTGTCCACAGCATTCTGAATGACTTCAGCTGGTAAATTATGCATCTCCGCCCTAATCTTGTTCTTTAAATTCTCAATATTATCCGGTCTGTCCTGGTAGACTCTTTCTTTCAAATATCCCCAAAGAAAATAATCCAGGGGTGTTAAGTCGGGGGATCTTGGCGGCCATTCAACTGTACCCCGTCTACCAATCCAGCGATTTGGAAACATTTCATCTAAGTATCTTCGAACATCAATACCAAAATGTGGGGGAGCGCCATCTTGTTGGAACCAAATTCTTTCATTCGGTATATCTGGATCAATTTCATGAGGGAAAATCACAGCTAGAGCAGGTATCAGGTCAAATGTTAGGAAATCCAGGTAGCGTGCGGCAGTAAGATTTTCTTCAAAAAAGAATGGGCCCAAGATTCTGTTGTTGATGATACCTGCCCATACATTAACTTTTTGTGGATGCTGCGTATGCGATTCGCATGTCCAGTGTGGATTTTCCTGGGACCAAAAGCGATAGTTGTGCCTGTTAACCACTCCATTTAAATAAAACGTAGCTTCATCCGAAAAAAGTACGTCTCGTTGAAAACCATTATTGTCGTCACACCGTCTCATCATTTCCTCACAAAATTGTAATCGCCTATCATAATCGTCTTCCAAAAGCTCTTGGACAAGACATACCTTATAGGGGTGGTATTTCTCTTGTTTCAGAAACATTCGAATTGCAGTTCGAGAAGCATCGTGATTGCGGGCCAATGAAACAGTTGAAGTATGAGGATTTTCAACAAGTTCTAATGCAATGTCTAATTTCTTTTCTTCATTCAAAGCACGTGCCCGTCCAGTTTTGGGCAAAGTCTGTACTGTACCGTGTTCCTCAAATTTGTGAAATATTTTACTAACTATCCCTTGCGAGATTTGGTTTTAGGGATATTTCGCATTAAATAAATCGCGCACTTCAGCCTGACTTCTTATTTTGTCTCCTCATCCAAGCAATATCAAGATTTCGATGCGTTGCCTTCCGATAATACCATTGCAATTCAGTAAATAACTTAATTTTGACACAATAGTACCGTTTCAAACTCCAATTTACAACCAAAGCGAAAAATTAACCAGAAAGCCTGGCAAGTAAGTAGTACTAAAAAAACGCAACATAAAAAATATATCTTTTTTGAGTTAGCAGTGATAGGTACAGTTTCAAATTCTTTATTTATTTTATTCTATGCAAATTCATGGAGGATAACACTGAAGATAATTAAATTTTATTTCACTTGTTAAGTAGGTACAAGTAGGTACAATCCTAAAAACCTTGCTATTGAAAAAATAAAACTTGTTTATTTGGTATGACTGGATTCGGTTTTCTATAAGCTTTTCAACGAGCCCCCTAATGCCTTGTTTTCATTTGAAAAAAAAGTAGGGGTAGCTGGGGGTTAGGGGGTTGAAGAAAAATTAATTATTATATAACCGAAAGTTGGGAAAAAATCAAAATCAGTTAACGTGTTTCGGCGTTTAAAAAAAAATAATTCATTCAAAAGATATGAATTTTATTCCGTACTTCTGGCCATCCCTGTATGAATAATTTAAGTTTTGTATGTTTATTTATTATTTACGTTCTTCAGGTGCATATGTATCTACTATACTGCAGCAAACTACGAATTAAATAATTACATTGATTAATTACTGATTAAATATATTTTACAGCTGTTTAATTAAATGTCAACAAAAAGGTATTTCATCTTAATTAACAATCCTATAGGATGACGACTACGCGACTACTTTTACCTTGCGAAACGCGTCGAACGAGTACATGATAAATATTCCGAGACCCGATAAGAATTATTGTATCTATGAGTATTAGACGCTTCAGTAAAATACAATACCAAATCTGAAATCCACGCGTTCAGTAAATATTACCCGATTATTACCGATTATCGTGATTACATGTATCGAAGCTTGGAGAAGAATCTCTGCTTAAAAAGTATCAGTACCGAATACTTTTCTCATCGATTACTCAGTGTTAGGTATTTGTTAGGTATTTTATTTAGTTACTTTTAGTTACATGTACTGTTAGGCATGTGCGCAGGTCCATGTATATATATATATATATAGGGTTGTGTGACATGATCATTCTAGAGAGTGAGATCGTATGAGCTTTGTATATAACATGTATTGACATTACCAAGAGTATTGCAGAATTAATAAAGAATATTAATTAGTCAGTGGAATAGTGTTTTATTCAAGACAGAACAAACTGGCGACGAGGTAAAAGTGGTGGATAAAAATTCGTGTCGGAGAATTAAAAAGTTAGCTAGTGAATAAAGATCGTGCGGTCGACCACGTGGACAAGATGGCAACTGGTATGGGCCAAGTTCGATTATTCAGTTATAGAACGTGTAACTGGAACATTTACCGGTCTCAATTACAGCAATACTTCATTGCTAACAATATTGCCGCTGAAAAGGCCGATGTGCGACGCGGAATCCTGTTAGCAAATTGCGATGAGGAGTCCTACCAGTTAATCTCTGATTTGTGTGTGCCAAAGAAACCAGAAAACGTGCCTTACGACGATATCGCTTCCAAGCTAGACGAACATTTCAAAGTGATAGAAACATTCTTTGGTGTTCGCGAAAAGTTCTACAGTGCGTATAAAAACTCTTATGAATCGGCAAGTGAGTGGGCAGCCAGAGTGAGAAACCTAGCAGCACCCTGCAAATTCAAAGCTGATGTGCTGGATGAGTTTTTGAGGGACAGATTTATAATAGGCTTTCCAAAAGGTGCAGTTCGTGATAGACTTCACGAAGAAGATGAAACCTTGACATTCGAAAAAGCGGTGTCAATTGCTTGCAAAAAAGAAGCAGGGCAGAAAAACTTCCAAGGTAACATTCCAACGACGAGCAGTTCGGTTGGAGGGATCAAGAGAGAAGCAGATGCCGTATATCGAGTTTCCCATCGACGAGGTCCTGCGCAAGGAAGTAGGTACCAGGATTGTGGCCGTGGAGCGGTAGGCGCATGTGGCGGTAGGCGAAATGTTCCACAGGGGGTGGAGCCACCACGGAGCAGAGATGACAGCCAGCGACTAGGCCGACGAAGAGGTTATGCAGGCACAGGTGCATCGAGTGCATTCCTGGATTCCACATTCGGTATAAACGAAAAGAAAACTTGTACTGTTTGTGGTAAGAGATCTCATTATTCTCATACTTGTAAATATAAAGATTATATATGCAACATTTGTAATATTAAGGGCCATTTAGCTGTAGTTTGTAAACAAAATAGAGGTAAAAATTTCAAGCATAATTTTTTGGAAGAGCATCCTTCGTTAGATGAACATGTTGATTGTTTATATCATCTAGGAGAAGAAAAGACTCCTATTGAAATTCAGGTCTTTATAGATAATAAGCAATTTACGTTTGAGTTA